TGTAAATCAGAGGATTGGAACCAATGTTGGAAGGATGTCCTTGGTCAAGGGGGTGAGGGAAAATGGAGGGAGGAGGGATGGCAGAGAAGCTACCTTCATTTTAAATGGGGCTCGATAAATTTTCCAAAGATATTAAAGAACATGAGTTGTCTGTAACAGAGAGCAGATAGTCTGCAGGAGTAGTGAAGTCCTTTCTAGTTGAGTATTTATTCCCTAATCTCAGATCACCAATACCCCTTTGTATTGAATCCAAAAAAACTCTCCTGGGGTTCCTCTTGGCCATGCTTTTGTGCCCTCTAAGGCCCTTTACTTTTCCCTGATAAATTACAAATAGGAAACATTGAACATGAAATCTAGGTCACATTTATGGCTTCTTTGGAATTATTGTATTTTAATGTGCATATAGGTGAATTTTCCTATAACAGTTTTTTTTCAGTCCTGAAAATATGGTTATTTCCCTTCCCATCTGAGTTTTAAAATCCTTTTTCCATTTTATCAAAAGCTAGACCTTCATTTTCAATTTTTAGTTCAAATAAAATAATTATCCTGTTGTTACTTTTTTGACAGCAAGAAGAATACATTTCAGATGAAGCACATATTTTATTCTATTTTAACTGTTTTTGTTTCCCTAATTGCAAGAAAAATTCAATGATGATCTTTTTACAGAGTGATAAATATTTTAGCGTAGATTTTCTGTTGGAAAAAAAAATCCAAGTGAAGGGTACAAGATTGGCAGGTTTGTGTCTTGTCTACACAAAGCTTTTATTTCCCTTAAAAAGTATTGCTGTCACTAGAATTAGTGTCTCTCCACCCAAATGCATTTGTTAAGCAGTCAGTAAATGATTAAGGAGCTGGAGGGACTGATTTATGGAACAAAATTAATTGAACTAAATAAGTATTGCTCCATTACGTGACAACTGGGAAGTGTGGGAGAACATGATATAGCTGTCTGCAACTACCAGAGGGGTGCAAACAGCAAGGGGAGTAAAAGCTTCACAGCCAGGTACAGCTGTGGGTTTTTATGACCCAGATTGCCCATACACTTCTTGAGGCGCTCCAAGAGGTGAAATGCCTGCATGTCCCCCAGAAAAGCCACACCAGGGATGGTTTAGGGTTATGCAAAATGTACTAAACATCTGTGAAGCCACTAAATACCATTGTGTTTTGTATATGCTACAAAAGCTAATGGAGTGAAATTTAAAAATAGGGAGCACAAGGCAGAAATATCAAGAACAGCAAGAGGTTCCTTATGGCAAGATAGATTATTGTAGAGAATGGGCTTCCAAGGAAAATTACAGACAAGGGCCACTTCCTGGAAATCCTGAGTACTAAATCAATCCTAAGACTCAGGCAGGCAGCATAGTGGAAGGACAGTGCTTCAGGAGGCATTTCTGAAATAGGTCCAATTGCTGTGCTTTTGTGAAGAGAACTACACGTAGGTAATTTAACAAAATGTTACCTCAGCCTATCTCAGCCTTTCTGTGATTAGGTGGACTGTGCTCCTGGAAATTTGGTCAAGTCTCACTCACTCACAGAGAGGGGCTTGACTTTTAGCCACTTGATTCTCAGTGTTAATGTTGCCCTTTTTTTTTTTTTTTTTGTGAGTCCCTGTCTCAGAGTACTTTTTCATTATTTAAACAGTAAAGGAGAGGAAAGCTCCTGATGCAGTGGATGAACACAGACCCATCTGCACGGAGCAGAATATTTTCCTGTGATCTGGCTGAATTTGCTGCACCTTGGTTCTTACCATTTCCTTAGGTCCTGTTTGCTCACTTGTCTTGGCTTAGCTGTGGCTCCTGTTGACTGCATAACTTGGAACAGCAGATTGAGTGGTAGTTGTGTCAAGGATTTCCCAGCAAATTGCATTTCCTCTGACACTGGCAAAATGGTGTCATGTGTTCAGGGTGTCATTAGCCCTGTGCAGGGTGCCCAAGGTAGGAATTGGGCAGTATATAAGCCTGAGACATGCCCTCCATTGCCAGGCAGAATTCACCTTGGCTGAAGACATGTCCTAGTCTACTCTGGTAATTTCCTGCTTGATACTTGTACATGCACCCACATAGCTTTCTCCCAAGTTCACTAGAGAAATGAATGACAGAATTTTACCCCCTTCTGGCTCCTTTGTCTACCAGCTCTAACCCTACTTTGCAAGTTTGAGTGCTGTCCAAAAGTATTTCTAAGTGGAACAAAAACAAACATGCTTTTAAATATTTGATGTTGCTACTTTAAGGGAGATTGACACATTTTGAAGAGGAAAGCAGCCTACAACACCTAAATTAAAAATAAATATTTATGTTCACATTTGTTCATCAGCTTTCCAAAATGTAAAAATATGTTTCATGTTGTTTTAAATAATGAAATGTGAAACAAATGAAAGATAAACTTTCTACAAGCTGCAAAGAAATGAGAAGACAAAGGCTTTGTTTATAGCTTAGACTTCAACAGTGCCCTTTGACAACCAATGCAAATCTTAATTACAAATGGAATTATACATGTAAGAAGTGTTCAAAACAAAGGAGTAATTTTTTTTCTCTCTCTGGTTTTCTTTGTGATAGTTTTAATTAGCTGCAACTCTTTGAACAATCATAGTCCTTGACTGCTCCTCAGACACTGATGGAAGTTGTTAACTTCAAATGGCATCTACAGGACTGCACAAGTCTGGGTTTTCCTCTGAACAGCATGCTCCCTGTTGCTAAATGCATTCTTCAATGTATCAGGATTCTGCATACATTCCACTTAATTGAGAAGTGAACATTGTCCAGTAACATTCCAGTGACTGACATTAGGACACAATAAATTGGATTAATAGGCTGCAGCACCCTGCACACACTGGCAGAACTTTAATGGACTCCTCTAGTAAAGTAAGCAGCAACAGGGCAAATGTGTTGTGAAAAACAGCCCAGTTGAATAATATGGAAAAACAACCATTAGAAATAATGGCCAGGCATACATGGCATTGTCCACATGTTAATCAGGAACCTGCCTTCGAAACACACAGAGAGTGGAAAGGAAAAGTCAATTTGTGTTTTCCCATCTTGACCTAAAATTATTTTTTTTCAATTCCCTGTGGCAAACTATTTAAATGGAAGTGCCTTCCAGAAACAGAATAAAGATCTCCCTTCCATGTTAGTGGAACAGCCTAATCCACAGGGGGAGCCTCCAGTCCTGCATCAGGATACAAACTTGGAGTGGGAAGAGAGTGCCCTGCGTCTCCAGGAGCCATTAGAGGGATGAGAGTATCCCTGAGAACAGCCTTGCCACAGCCTCTGAGCCTGGGGTTGAGGTGTCTTAGCCAAGTTCAGGTTTATAATAAATGCTGCTGTTACAATATAGTATTCAGGGGAAGAGAAAGTTTCTGCCTGGGATCTGTGACTCACTGTGCTTGGCAGCACATGAGCCTTCATTCATCAGAGCTGTGTGCCTGACTCTGCTTGCACGTACTCCTGTGGGGTTTGATGCATAGGCTGTTTGGGAAAGAAAGGCATCTGTTGACTTCACATGTTCAGGACTTATAGTTGTGTATGTTTTAAAAGCTGGGAAGGAGGGGTGGGATATTTTTGATGCCTTCCCCTACAGTGGAAAGCATGAATGTTAGCGAGGAGTACAGGGGAAATGCCTCAGATGTTGTGCAGAACTGTAACATAGGTAATGCTGTTTTTTAAAAAAATTCACCTTGTTTCAATAATGAAAACTAAAAAATTAGCTATTATTAGTCATTATTACAAATGAACTGGAACTGCTTCTCCATTTTACTTCTGAGTTTTTATTAAACTTAAAACTGTGCCATGGGAATCAATGAAATGACATAGAACACAGAGTCTAATTACCGGAATGTGACCTAATCTTTCAGAGATATTGCTGTATTATTGACCATAGAATCACAGAATGGTTTGGATTGGAAGGGACCTTAAAGACCATCTAGTTCCACCCCCTGCCGTGGGTAGGGACACCTTCACTAGACCAGGTTGCCCAGAGCTCCATCCAGCCTGGCCTTGAACACAGCCAGGGATGGGGCAAAATCTTGTCTATTTGTTGAATTTCAGACAACTTATGCTGAGCTGTAGAAGAATGTCACTCTGATCTCCAGTGAAATGGACAGAAGCAGCTAATACAAAGATCTTCATGGGAGAGAGAGCAGATACCTTCTAACACTGCCTTTCAAACTTCTTTTCAAATGACAGTTCAGGATGCTGTAGTAGTTTAATAGTGGATGCCCTGTAAGAATTCCTGCAAGTCTTTCCTCAGTTTTTTTTTATTCTCCTCTGATATTCTGTTTTGTCACTTCCTGCCCCTCAGGTCTAAAAACGAAAAAAACGATTTTTTTAAACTATTGGTTAAATTTGTTTAACTATCAGTTAAAGTAATGTGTTTATTAACTACTGGATATATTGCAGTGGCATCCAGGAACCATCCAGGAATCTAGGGTTTAGCAACTGTGGCTGTATAGGAAGGAAACCCAGAGAGAAAACAGCCTTTTTCAAATTTAATTTGTATGCACTTGGTTTCTCAAGGTCTTCACAAGAGAAATACACAGAAAAGCAACAAAAGCACTTGGGATAAATTGGATAAATGTGCATATGGCCACTAGAAATAAGAATTTTTGAATTTGCTTCTGAATAGAGTAAAGCTAGCTGTTGAAATAATAATGCATACTGCTTTTTTTGTTACTCTTATTAGTATCTCTGGATATGATTTTTTTCTGTTAGTGAAAAATGTATTCTGTTTTAAAAAATAAATGTCTGTATTTATGAAAATACATACTGGAAATGATCCTCATCTCATTTAAAGTGGTACAGCTTGCTTTCTTTAAGTAGATTATGGCTGATTTCTAACCACTGAGGTTTTTGATCCTTATTTTTAAATCCCATCGAAGTGAGATCCCCCTGCCCCTTAACCTCAAGAGCATCAGGATTTTGCATGCCATAATCTCCATAAGATTTCAAGTTTTTTCCATTGCTTTTTCCATTGTAAATGTCTTCTTTTTTTTTTTCCTGTTAAAGCAAAGAACCGTGGGATTGCAATTCCAGTGGATTTGGACAGCCAGGTCAACACCTTGTTCATGAAAAGTCACTCTAACATGGTGCAGAGGGCAGCCATGGGGTGGAGAATGTCAGCCCGCAGTGGACCTCGCTTCAAAGAAGCTCTTGGTGGGCCTGCCTGGGATTACAGGAATATCATAGAAAAACTACAGGTACAAAAATAGCAAATGGCTTGAGCAGTAGTGGTAGTGCATTTATCTAACATTTGCCAGATGTGGGAAACACCAGAGACAGACCCAGTGCATTTTTAATGCTGGGTTAGAGTGTAACCATTGCACTTCTAGGTGGAGGGAGCCAAAGACTCAGCTCTTCTCTGGTGTCTGTTCAAAGTGGAGCCAACATTCAAGGCCTTTTGATCCATGATCAGCATTTGGCTCCTATAGAAATCAGTACAGAGGGGTAGGAAGTATGTATGGGTCCAGTAGTGTAGGGTTTCAGTTACGGTCACATGTCCTGTTTTGGCTGCAGAGGAGGTACTGGAAGTTTTGAGAGCCATTATGTCAGGATTGTGTAATTGGAGATTGCCTATGAGATGGAGATCACCTTGGGCATGTAGTGGTTCAACAGCATCAGTTTATGAACTGAGAAAATAGGAGGACACACAAATGGAGAGGCCCTAAACACCAAGGATGCCACACCTTGGGTGATACACTAACGCCACATATGACAAACATTGTTTTTCCAGCGCACCATCATCCCTACTGTTGCCACATGTTTTGTGAGCATTACTGCAGAGGAGAAATTTGAAAGAGAAGAGCAAAGTAGGTAGTAATGGGCACCTTCTTCCCCTTGCCCTGCTTGAGGAGTGGCATTAAGAAAGGCTTGAGGCTGCTTCACTGTCATCTGTGTTAGCAAGGGCTCTTGCAGCTGGCCAGCAGAAGTGGGTCAAACGCCCATCGCTCTGTATCGTGCAACCCACCATGATATTCTTCTAGTTTTCTTGCAGTTATGAAGGTTGTTCTCCTTTCTTCCCTAGGATGTAGTGTCCTCCTTGGAGCAGCAGTTCACTCCCATGATGCAAGCTGAATTCTCGGTGCTGGTTGATGTGCTGCACAGTCCAGAACTCCTTTTTCCTGAGGGGAGCGATGCCAGAATAAGATGTGGTGCTTTCATGTCCAAGTAAGTGGTGTACAGAGGGACCTATTTACTTCTTGGGAAAAGATGACAGGGAGTCAACATTTTCAACAGCACTTACCTCTGATTTTCAGCAGAGACTTCAGCATGTGAGTGTCTAAGTTCACTGCTGAAGGCTTAAACTGAGGGCTTTTTGCTGCATGTTTATGTTTCTCACGAGTTTAGGAGTCTGAGAAGGAGCAGAGAGGGTGCTTGCCTTGTCTAGAAAGGGGATGTTAGTAGCTTGTTAAAATTGTGGCAGGCTCAACCTACTTCTGTTTTCTTAATGGGATACTTTTGCTATTAATTTTCTTCTAATTTACAGCAGAAACTTAGACTTTCCATAGCAGAATT